CAATGGGCTCAAGCATGACAACAATTGTGAGGTTTGCCCAGGATCAGGCAGTGTTTTATTCTGCTGTGCATAAGGTCACTATGAGTCGGTACTGACTTGATGGCACCTAATAACAACAACAACCTTTTGTTAAAGAAATAGTGGAAACTTGACTAGAGGAAGATAAAATTTTTTTTATAAAGGAAACGTGTAAATTGCTACAAGCTGAGGAACTCGACCGATACTATGAATGTAGTAGCTCAAATTGTCAACTGAGAGGGAAAGCATCTTCACATAAAGTGTCAATCCTGTCCCCCCTATACACAGAGTTGATAGGAATGAGCAGCTTGGACATTAGCTGCCTAAAATGGGGTTGGGGCACAATGACAGCACGATGTGACTGGCTTACAGGTTTCAAGAGGGAGTTTAGTTTCAGAGTGGCAGGGGGAAGATAGAGCCCCCACTGCATCGTTTTCATCTTGTCTAGACTGGTGAAGGGAGATGGGAATAAGATTCTTAAATAGTAATTGTTATCATGATTAATTGCAATAGTCACAACTGTAAAGGTAGAAGTTTTATAACAAAAAAGGGCAAGTAGTTAATCTTACAGTCCATGAACAGAGGACCCTAGGACCAACAAGAGAGAAGAGCATGAGCGGAATGTGGGACCCTATCCAGAGAATCAGTGACACAAGAGATGTAGGTAGAGATGAGGACATGGAGAGAGAGAGCAGCGGAGGATTCTAGACTCATGGAAAGAGAAAGGTTGTGTGCTGGCAGCCAGGAGGCAGGCTTGCAGACTGTGCCCTTTGGTTGGTTGCTTAAATGATTATATATTCCTGTCGGGTCCTCTCAACACAAACCTCCTTCCAAGACTAAGACTCAACAGAAATACACGCTCTGATTGGTGACCACACGCATCACCGATAGGGGGAAGAGGGGTAAAAGCAGCAATGAAGCTGCAAGCTAAGCCTTTTAATGTTCAGTGGGCTTCTGTGGACCCAGTTGGGGACCTGCTTGGCAAGCAGTGAGAGGAGACCTGGGGACTCTTGGGCCCATAGTTAGTAGCCACAGAGGACTCGAGTGGAGAGTGGAGCTACCGGCTGATGGGAAGAGAGGGCATGGGCACAAGAACACCCATACTTGCAGATAGTACCCACGTGACCTGGACCAGATTACTAGATGATCAGAGCTCAACCAGGAGAAGAAAGAAGAAAAAAAAGAAAGAGTGAGCTGATACAATCTGATGAACTTGACCTATACCTACGGATGCAGTGACTCAAAAGAAGGAACAAATCCTTACAGCAAGAAACGTTCCCACCCCCTCCACACACAGAGTGGGCAGAGATGGGCAACTTGGACATTGGATACCCAAATGGGGAGGGGAAAACTACAAAGGCAAGAGGTGACTGGCTTACAAGCTTTCAAGAGGGAACCTAGGGCTAGGGGGCATGGAGGAAGGCAGAATCTCCAGTGAGTACTATCCAATCTGTCTAGGCAGAGCTGATGAAATGAAGTACAGATGGGTAACTCGTGATACTGTAGTGAATAATGGTTATCAGGACTGATTATAAGGGTTGGAAGTGCAAAAGTAGACGTTTTATAGCAAAGAAGGGAGCGATTATTTCTCCAGTCTAGGAGCGGAGGTCTCTAGGACCATCAATGGAGAAGAGCCAAGAGCGGGACCCTACCCAGAGAACCAGAGATCCCTGAGATGGAGACAGAGACGATGACGTGGAATGATGAAGCGGCTGGGGACTTTGGATCCAGAGAGGAAGAGGGCCTGTGGGCCAAAGACTGGTGGGGGAGGCGGGATGACAGGGGGCAGGTTTCTAGGATATACCCTTTGGTTGGTTGATGATGCATGAAGGGGATTGGAACCATGGCAATGAAATGATATCCGATGGAATGAATGTAAAACTAAAGTTCTCTCATGTAAACATGTAAACTACCATATAATTCACAATAAAACGTTAAAAAAATGATTATATATTCCTGAGTGTTTTTGTGTACATTAAAAAAAAAAAAAAGTAAAACAGAGGGATAGACGCAAACTACTATTGAATGGTGATGCATGGAAATGCAATCATTGCAGTGAAACGAAATACAGTAGGGTGAGTATAAAACCAATGTTCCCCCTTGTAAATTATCACTCAATTCATAATAAAAACTTTAAAAGTAAGAAAGAAAAAGATAGTAGAGCTTACAAACGTAATGAAATAATAAGACACAGAATTTGACCTCACTGAGTCTTAGTTTTTCTACCTGAAAAGAGCATAAATAAATAAGATAATCCTTACAACACATGGTTAGTTGTGGTGACCAATGTCATACTGTAAATACTTGTTAAGTGTTGTCGAGTCAATTCTGACCCATAGCAACCCTGTATTGGGTTTCCAAGGAGCAGCTGGTGAGCTCGAACCACCAACCTTGCGGTTCAAACTGACTTTGCAGTCTAGCACATTAACTCACAGCATCACACCCAGGACTCCACTCTAAATATGAAGAATCCTCAAAAAGGTTATGGAAAAATTCCATTATTTTTTAAATTCTATTTTTCCACAAACTTTTAAAAGCCCCCTCAGATAGCCCTTAGAATTATTCACTCCCCATTGTACCTTCAGGTTTTTGTGAAATAGAGATGTTAGTAAAATAGAGGCTCTTTTCCACTTTGATGACAGACCTAATACTTAACAATGTTAAGGTTCAGAATCCGGTAGAACCTTAAGTCTAGAACCTTTAATTCTTCCTAAGTCTAGAACCTTTAGTCTGGAACCTTCTTGTTGTGGCTAATCCATATACTTGTACAGTGTTATTCTGCTCAGAAAAGTAATTTAGAACTTTTTACTTCAGACTTCTAGGATTGAAGAGTATCACCCAGTGTATGTGGCTAAACACTAATAAGTTATGTGTGACTTTGTTTTTAAAAATTCAGTATGCACATATATATACCTATTTAAAAATTCAACAAGCTATACTCTCAAAATATATGAACTTTATGTATGTATGAATTGTATATAACTTAGTTCTATTTGGATTTTAAATGTTTTTTTTTTTAAATTAATTTACAAGCTAGCTATTCAGTAGTTTACATGCAATGAGCTGATATTTCAATGTATTATGCCCAGCATGTAGTACTGACCCTACTTACAGTTTTGTGTTTCACTTAGGTCAAAATTTAGCATAGTGGTTACAAATCGGGCTGAGAACCGCAAGGTCAGCAGTTCGAAACCACTAGCTGTTCAGGGGATGAGGCTTTTTGCTCCCGTAAAGATTTACAGCCTCAGAAACCCTGTACAGAGTCGCTATGAGTTGGAATTGACTCCACGGCACATAACCACCACCAAGATTGTGTGGTAGTTATGGCTCTGTAGCAGAAAGAGAAAGATTGTATTACTTTTCAAATTTTGTTTCATTTTTATTAGTAAGCAAATTTCCATAAATAATTCTTTTGTTCTAAGGAAAGGTATTGTTGTTGTTGTTAAGTACCATGGAGTCGGTTCCGACTCATAGTGACCCTGCACAGGGTTTCAGAGGCTATAAATCTTCACGGGAGCAGAACGCCTCATCTTTATCCCACGGAACAGCTGATAGTTTTTGAACTGCTGACCTTGAGGTTAGTAGCCTGATTCGTAACCACTACACTAAAATATCCTTCCTAATGTTATTAATTCCCAGTGTCTGTGTCTCTTTTTGTTTTGGGTATACCGGCCACAAATGGGAAATATAATTTTACGTACAGCCAGGGATGAAATGCATATCTTTGAATAGACTTCTGCTATCATTAGCTTGCTGCATAGAGCCACCTAAGGTTTGTGTGTGTGTGTGATTAAGTTTATTAATTTGTCTTTGGTAGACTTGAGAGCACTCTCTCTCCCCAGTGGCTCTGAGCTTGGAGAGTTCCCACCAAGCTCAATCAATGTCAGGGAAAGGGGTGTGGATTTTTTGTACTACGCCTCTCCTCTCAACAGCTCTAATGTGGCTGGCAGTCTCCTCCCCTTCCTGCACTTCAGCTCTACACAGTGTGCACTCTGGAATGACAGGCATTCCTGTGTGAAGAGAGCCGGCGTGAAGACATATTTGTAAGAACCACAAGTGTCCAGGCCAGGATACAGGGAAATAGACACTCCAGCAGATTGATTGACCTCGTGCCATTTCCTCAGGTCCAGCAGTGACATTGAGAGAGGACCGCATGTCCTCTCTTTATATAGATTTGTTTTTTAAAAAAGGTTTCTTTTGTCCGGGACAGTTTGTTGTCGTGAGATACATCAGACAATATAATCATGGGGCAAGCTGACGTCTCCAGACCGGTAAATCCAGATGCAGTAGGTGAGTAATATGAAGGCAAAGAAACTGAGAATATCTTGACAAAGGCAAGGCAGATTTACAGGTGACGCTGAGTATTAACATAGGAATTTGAATGTAAGGATTGTGATGTTTACAACTGTGGGACATTTATAACTTGGTGAAGAATTAGTGCAAACTTACAAGTTGTTTTTCATTCCATTTTATTAATTTTCCACTCACAGTTTGGTTTTACTTGATCCCTCAGGAGTTTTTTAATATTAAATTGCTAGGGAGCCATCTGTTAATTTCATGTTCTTGCAGGATAAGTACTACAGGAACTTGTACTTAGAATTCAGTGGTATTTTGCAGGACTTAGACACTTGACATATATGTGGTACAGAACTAGCACTGTGGACTTTTATAAACAGGGCCATTTGTAAGGATTGACCTAATCTTTTAGATTCAGATATACAATTTACAAATACGTTTCAGGCTTTTTCCATTGTGTTGGGTTTTTTTCAGTTTCTCAAAGGCAACACTTCAGTATAAACATTTCTGAAGTCCATACTATACGTTTGAAGTGTTATTATCTCAGGATGGCTAGCGACCAAGATGTTAATTGTGAGAATACTCAGTTTCAAAGCAAAGAATCGGCTGTCACTGCAGCTCATTTTCTCAACTTGTTGGGGTTTTGTGTAAGATGAAGATCTTAAATTGGGTAAAATAACTTCAACTGGATGTTTTTAAAGGCTTGGCTTGCTAAATATACACAAGATAGGAGAAAGCCAGGGATTCATTCCTTGACATTATACTATTTTTGAAAGATTTATATCTTTGTTTTGATTTTTGAAGCAGCAGAAAACATGTTCAGTCCTAGACTGCTTTTGATTCAGAAAGAAAAATTCAACTGACTTTAAAGAAAATTATAAAAGTGTAAGAACACAGGTAATATTCCCAAATGCCTCATAATTCCATGCTATTTCACTTCCAAAGGGAGTCTTTTCACTTAAGAATGTCCTTAAAGAAGTGCCTAGGAATACTTTTAATATTTTACTGAAACTGCGGCACATGGATCCCAAAGTAAGTCAATCAGCAACTGATTTTTATGACTGAAATCAGAACTTGACTCACTCTACTCTAATCACCTGGGTCTTTATCAATTTAGTAACTCAGTTATTTTCAAAATGAAATATTTTACAAAGAGGAAAAGATTAGTAGAGAGAACAATATAAAGAATACTAGTGGGCCACTATCCAATTTAAGAATTAAAATAAGAAACAGGGTTATAACTCACTCCACCCCTCTCTGTGTTCTCACTTCCTTCTGATGATTTTTTTATTCTTTGCTCCCGGAGGTAATCACTCTCCTGAATTTTGTAAATAACTCACTTTTTGACTACCATACTGTTCTTTGTTAACAAGTATATAATAAGGACCCAAATAATGATAGGCATTTATTTATGACTAAAAATGAAAATGTCTCGAAAAGTAATAAATTATTGTTGTTGTTGTTAAATGCCATCAAGTCGGTTTCAACTCACAGTGACCTTGTATAGGGTTTGTGAGAAGTGGCTGGTGATTTGAACCGCCGACCTTGTAGTTCAAACCAAACTTGTAGTCTGGTACATTATCGGTGGTAGTATTTATGAAGAATGTCTATCCAACATACATTTTGATAAAAATTTCATCAGACTAGCAGATAAAATTTGATGCTATTTTTAATACGTCTTTTAAAAAAAGTAGGAAACAATATCTATCCGTTTTGCTGCCTACCAGTAGCCCTAATAAAAGATCTGAGAAGTAGAAATAGAAATCATTCAGGGACCTAGCTTAAGGTTTTCATGGTATTTTTTTTTTAATTATTACTATTTAAATTTTGTTTTGTTTTCTATTACCTAGATTGATTGATTATAAATTCAGGATATATTCTCTTTGAGCATATCAGAACCAAATCATGAAAGATTAATCTTGAACAACTTTGAGGACTACACTATTGCTTTACAGGCTTTTGCCAAAAGTAGTTTCTTAATGAAGTTTAAAAAGTATTTTAATAGGCAGTTGTTTGGAAAGTCTTACCAGGTTTTTTGAAAGAATAAAATATGTAAAGTGAATTCAAACATGAATCATTTATTTGCAGTTCTAGACATACAGCATAATAGTTTTGAGCTTTAAAAATTGATGGTACTAGCTTTTCTAGTGGAGTGATGCAAAAACAAAACGACTGAATATTTTGGTTTCTTATTATTGTTAAGGTATTCTAAAGGTTATAGAAGACCATGTATTGGTATAATGCATGCCCAGGCCCAAAGTTTACTTTCTATTTTTCTATTTGGAAATATGAGTTAAAAATAGAAGAAAAGAAAAAAA